GCCATAGAAAACCGACGGGCTACAGGGAGACTTTTGCGACAACCATCTACAATAAGTAGCTGGTACAAAAAATATTTTTGCTGGTTTGTAGAAAAAGTACTTTCTATTAATAAGAAATCTGGGAGCCTTCGGAACAGTTCGAGCATTTCCGAGGTTGAATATACAGAAAGCGAAATTCTGTTGTTGTCGTCCCGCAAATAGCGGGCTCTTCCAGGTCGAGGGTGTAATCTGTGGAAAGTACATATTTAGCAACATAAATAAGACTTACTTGGATTGTTCCGTCCAAAAGTGTTATGCGCCCGAATGTTCCCAACGTCGCTGTTCGTGAGATACGTGCCGAGCTTGGATCTCACGTGGAGGCGGATGTTGAAAAAGCGGCTCCGGCATTCCAGCATTGGCCGTATGACCTCCGGTTCTTCTGGATTCATTCGACGGTTCCGGTTAAACCTCCTGAATGCTTCGGCCCCCAGAAGTTCGTGGTTTGGAGTCATATTAAGTCGAGTAATCGCTAACGAGTTACTCAGTCTGCCAACGTCGAAATACGCCTCTCATTCTGTGTGATCAAACAGTCGGCGTCGTTTTTCGTCGTTAGGACGACGTCCAAATCATTTCCGCTGGTACGGGTGCTTGCTGAACCTTTTCTCGCTGGAGGAATTTGCTTTCGAGGTTCGTATGCTATAATACGATCCTGAAATCCGCTCGCACTGCTTGATGTGGTGCACGAATTCGTGAAAGTTGCCGAATGGGCGGCTGCTCAGGTGTTCCCCGAACAGAGTGGCAACGTTCACTGCGTACCCTCCACCAGGGGCGGGGACGATTACAACGACCGATTGTGTAGTTGATAAGCCATAAAGAGTGTGCCTCACAGGAATGCGCGGGCAGTTATGTAGGTTACATCCACCGATGGAAATGGGTTATCAGCCAATATCTTTGAAGAAAGCTCACTATTGGAAGCATATGTAGTAGTGTAAATTAAACGAGAAAAAAAACGTCTGGGATTTTGGACAAGAATGACAAACAAAAAGGTTGTGGTAAATGATGTTCTGAACGGACCTAGCTGACGCGCACGAGCAACATAGAGCTAGGGGTGAATCAAATCGAAGGGAGCTGGAAAGTGTCAAAATAACCGGCCAAATTAAGCGAAGACAGGCAGTGTAAGCCGAAAGCAAACCTATCAGGGCAGGGACGAAAACTCCCGTAAAGAATTTAGCTGACGCACTAATGGAACATGAAGAATGTAGGTCACAAGGGGCCCAATCAGTCAATCACAAGTAGAAGACAGATGACCCCTGAAACGAAGTAAACGCAGGTGGGTGATGAGGGGGTATACGTCCAACTACCCACTGACGTCTCCTCGGTTGGACACAAAACGTACACAGACGGGTTGACGGCCATCTAGTCGGCAACAGGTATGGGTCCTGTAGTTTTTGGGTATTTTCTGGACCAAACTGCAGATGTGTTTAGGACTGTCACCGGTGGGGAGTCCAACATCAAAATGACATCAAAACCATACTTTCTAATTTATCTACAAGTGCCGTTTATGTCAACGGTTTCACCACCACTCAAGCATTTCGCTCACTTGTTAGGGCAACACAATCTAGGGGGTAGCTACAGAGGACATACTCCCCAAGTCATTCGTTTGGAAACGAGAGAAAATAAGGACCGAGTCGTCAAAACACAGGTTTGTTATTTGCGAATCAGATATTTATTGGAATTCCAGCCGACTTATCTGTTGGGACACTGAAATACTTAGCAGGACCCAGCAGGCTTGAAACGTGCGTGTAGATACCTAACTGGGAAGTCTTGACAGATGGGTCATTCGATCGACACAACCAGGAAAGTTACTGAGTCGTTGCTGTAGGAGTCGAGTAGACCAATCACCACCCAAACGTAGACATGTCCGCCTGTTTAGGTGCGTCTAGCGTAGTGGTGCTAACATGCTCACATTGCATGCCAGGTATCTGGAGTTCAAAACTCGGCACGGCTGAAGTGTACTGTTGATGAACTCTAGTAAGAGTGAAGAATCCAGTTCCTACCGCCTTTGGTGTGGATTCACCAGAATAATTTAGCCATGACGGCAGGAGGACTGTCCAAACGAGTGATGCGAAAACCGATTACCTATTATAAGTTGCAGATTTGATGCGGTTACACAAGTAAATTGCGAACACACTCAAGAGTTTGAACAGTTTGCGTAAGCATCCTCTCTCGCGGCTTAATTGAACCACACTAAGCAATCGTGTGGGGGAGTCTGCAAGGTGAGGGGCACAATCACGTTTCAATCCTTGGGTATGAAGGATCAAGACCGAATCATGGACAGACGAATTTTCTGAATAGGTAAGTGAACAGACCGCTCAGGTGTAAGAAAGTTGGCTTGTTTGAAATGCATCGAAATGATGCTCCTGACTCCTAACAATACAGAATGAGTGGACCAGGAAGGGCAAGTTTTTTTGTAAGTTCGTAAGTCTCATTTCTGGACCAGCTTCGTCCAGGCATCGGATCTAAGATTTTTCAAATAACCAAATACTTGACGAGAGGCCAAAATGACATTCAACGGCTCCATTTCAACAATGAAGATAGCCCGCTATGCACGCCAACTTTACACAGTTCACTACGCGGAAGGCCTTATATCCTAACTCGAAATTGAAACGCGGATATAATGTAACATCCCACACCGGCGAGGCTGTAGGTCTCCGAAAAACGAACCACTTCAACTATGTAAATAAGCGTATCAAACTGGCAGTCATTCTTGTTTGTCATAGCGTCGACGACTGATCTCAGTCAGGATGAGTTAGCTTGCCGCATTCACCAGAAACGTGAACCTTCCGGCCTCCCAGATGGTTCTCTATATTTCAGCGACTGCGCTGAGACACTACAATCGCCTTACTCAACAGGTTGGCATTCTAATCACCATGTGAACTATAAGGCGAAATCAGTGGCTCAAGCAATATATCAGCGGCCATATTCCCTCGGGAACATTATCAGGCCTGCGAACGTTACTTGAGTAAGTTAAACTGGAAGCCATACAACTGCCCAGCTTCATTATTATCATGCGAAACACGCTAGCGCACTCTTGAGGAATACTGTGGAAAGTACAGTGTGCTTGTGGCGACCGAGTTATTTTCGCGCACGCCTTCACTCGTGTTGCCTAGAGTGTGTTGAAAAGGTGAGCTCATTCCTTACAGTACCCTTCACCATAAACCACTCCGATAATGGTCGGGAAAGAAAGAAGAGTGTAATCCACTGCTGTTAAAGCCCGGGTAAAAGTATGAAAAACTGTCAATCGTTGGGTTTTGGCGCTGAAGTGAATATGTAATCAGTGCGGAAAATACAAACACGGATTCACCCAAGTAATAAAAGAAGTACAGCCACAAAGCGTGCTATCGCTTCGGTAAGGAAATCTCAAGAGGCTTCAGTCGTTTTGATTCGGGAAGGGATTGGTTGAGCTGCTCAAGTGCAATACACAGGTTGTCAATTACTGAGGTGCATTGATCAATCAAACCAGAGACTTGACTTGTTTGCAGAACCACCGAATCCATCTGTTGTCTGCCTGCTAGCTTCACTGTCTGGGGGCTGGTTGGTGAGCCCGGACTTGCAGACTGTTTCGAGTGCCTCAGTGGACTGGGGATGATTCCTTTTTCACGAGCCTTCAAGTAGCTCAATAGCCGCTGAACCTCATAATCGATCTGGAAGGTAAATAATACACCATAGAAAATACTAAACGTTGAGATACCACGTGATATCACATCTTGCAGTAGCAACTAGCGACACAAAATGCACGGCGGTAGCGCATAACGCAGAAAACGACCTTTCGGTCATTGTTAAACGCAGAATTCATTTCCGATCACACCATACTACTAAAGTCAATAGTGTTAAAATATTGGTAGCTCAGGTGAGTTTGTTGGTAAAAACTAATCAGGGGCTATTGATCTGTTCGCCGAGCTTGGCAATCGCGCCATACGAGGAGACATCATCAGTGCGCACTGATCAACAACCAATGAAGCCAACAATACTTGATAACATAATGAAAACGCTGAAGGCTACACGATAGATATTATAAACGGAACTATCTGACGTTTCAACCGCCGACGATGGTCTTTGTCAAAGAACGAGTGATCGAAATTGAAGCAAAACCAATATGGCTACCCACAGACTGTGTATGTGCTGTGATTGATGTGAAAGTTTCATGTGTCCCTTCTCTGCAAACGCACTAATGTGTATGCTACACTGTGTGAGTGTTTCGCACCTGACCATGGGACTGCGTTGTCGTGTCACGTGAGCCATATTGAGCCTGAGTAGCATTTGTAAGGTGAATTAGGCCGGGGCTAACGGCAGACCCCTAAACACTATGAAATCTGTTAGAGCACGAAGTTGTTATGCAAATAACCGCCACTGATTCAGTGCAGCACCTCTGTATATACTTTGAGATTTTGCTGTAATATATACGAGTTACCAGAGTTGCCTCGATGATTCTCAGCTGTGATTGTTCTGTCGCGCTCTCGTCTTTTGGAGAGGCTTGAGAGTGTCATTTGTGCTCTTTAGGTCGAACCTTCAGTTGTCTGCTGGTTTGCCCAGTGTAAACATAGTCATGACTGGTAAGTGAATCTTGAAGACAGCTGATATGGCCATCGAAACTAAGTGCGAACCAATTGTCTCTACAGTGTGTTGTCTGTCTGCAAAGTGGTGCAGATGTTGAGACTAGAGAATACACACCAGGTGCTTTCGGATATGTGCTGGCGGTACTGAATCCTCACCGTGTTAGTTGGTTCAACTCTCGGTTGGGCTGAAACGTATGTTCGAATAAACCCTTCAAATATCTAGTGTTTCCTAATGTTTGTACAATATGGTTAGTCTCGTTTACAGACAAACCCGTGTCAATATTGACCATTCGCTCGGCGGGCAGTGTGCAAATTATCGAGTTTTTAAACAGCTACAGCGCCTAAACTCCCTACGGAAATGACTTATCACTAGTTGATAACCCTCTCTTCAACGCATACAACCTCTTTTGAATCCACTGCAGCTCTGGGGTACACGAACAAGTAGTAAAAGGATAAAAGGCATGACTACTTGAGGAGATACCGAAATGTCACCTTTTAGGAAAGGAGGCACCACATTCACCAACATCAAATTGCGTCAACCAGGAATGACAATCAGAATAGAGAAGTGGTTGAGGAGCACAAGAAAAGCGTACCTTGTTTTGGAGCCCGATTATTCGCGTTTGTGTCTGGTACACTGCCTCCGTACGGCGCCGGATACATTGTTCATAGTCGTCGACCAGCGATCTCAACTAGATAGACAGAAAAGACAGAAAACTGGGATGTGCTCAATCAGATAGGATGAGGAAAAGTCAAGAGTACAAGAAGTGAAACGACTGTGAGTTACCCATCAGGGAAGTGACTAGCACCAACAGGGCGTTTTACGTAAAGTTTAAAAAATTGGATGGATAGTTGATAAAAGGTCAGCTTATTCAAACCGAATTAAAAACACTTCTACAGAGATTAAACAGGATTGCACAAAAAAAAGTCAAACGCGATCGACTGCACGTTTTTTGCACATGCCTTCATCCCGTTCAGAATTGATGACTGGATATCTGGAAGGGAGACATAACGCTTTGGTCGAAATTTTCTACGAAAGTAGCTGTCAGTCGTGTTCCCAGTCTAAGTGGTATTTTCATCAACTCTGATACCGCTTCCTACATACTTTGGGTTACTATAACTTGGCGAATGTTTGAGCGTTTACGTTTGGGATAACTGGCTTTACCGTGACCACCACTAGCCCTCTAACAATACTGGGGTGTAGAATTCCAAGGACGATGGAAGCGTCCGTCGCCCTTATTATTGACACCATCGAACTGGAAATATACCGCTTTCTAATGTAAGTACATCCACTACATCAAGCAGCAACACCAGTTATTTGAAACAGTCGATTCTGCATGTCTCGTGCCACGATGACGGTTACGTTGAAAGCAGTTATTTCAACCTGGAAGGTCCACGACCTCTGCGAATGTGTCGGAAGCTATGCCCAATTGGAATTACTCAGTGTTGGGATTTGCAATTTCTTCCAAGACCAAGCCGGAAGCGTCGTGATAAAGAGCGGGACATCTCCGCATCTGTAGCATCGTTCCTACTTTTGTGAACTGACAATAACTGCGACATACTGTATTTTATTTTTATTGAGAATAGAAGCTTTAAGGAATTTTCAAACACGGACCGTTGGTCGCAGCAGTAACCCTCTTCCACTCACACATTTTATTCAGATTTTCGAAAGTTCCTGAAACCTGAGAATTTTCAAATCTACAGATAATTCCCCCGAGCTAGCCTGTTGGGAGATCGTTTCCAGAGGTAGGTGCACGCTTTCACTTCGATTGCAGAGTAATCCACAAACATGCTTACTCTAGTGATGCCAACGACTAACTAGTTGCTGATCCGAAAATGGCGTTCAGTGTCACCGCAAATATCGTTTCCGTGGAGTCTATGGAAGTCCTTCCTAACAATAAAACCTTCTCTTCCCTAAAGGGAGGCCACACCCAATAAGGCTCTATCAGCCGTTTTCTCCATAAAGGCTTCTCTACAAGCTTATTACTGCGACTAATTTTGAGCTCTGCCTCTTGGTAACCTGGAGCTTGCTCCCATGCTGTCCCATCTCCGTGCAACATAACCCTACTACACCACACCGTTTCGTCCCTTCCCTTACAGCTCCACCGATGAACACACATTGCTCCTCAGATTTTAATCGCGGGTGAGAAGTAGCTGGATCAAACTCGTTTTCACCCACCACTTCGAATCACCGAGATGCATCAAAGTACCAACGTTCATCACAGCAGGCGAAGCATACTCGTCATAGCTTCAGTTGACATAGTTAGTAGCCTATGCCAGTCAGAATGTTTCGTTCAGTCAAATTAGGCGGATTCGTCAGTGTTGCATGCGATGTATGGTGGTACGCACCAGCAATCGGACATAACAGTAATGCACAGGTGTGGTCTGTGAGTTTGTGTGAACACGAGTAGGTTTTATCGACTCAAACAATAATACCGATTCTGTTGAGAGGAATTAAACCGAACTCGGCTGACACTCAAGCAAATTTCACTGAACAGTAGGTTTTGCTGACTACCTCTTGAGCTAGTTTTTGTGCTTCAACAAAGACGACGCTCAAGATAGCTCAGCGGTTAACTCACAAACTTACTAACCAGAGTGAACAGTAGGTTTTGCTGACTACCTCTTGGGCTAGTTTTTGTGCTTCAATAAAGACCACGCTCAAGATAGCTCAGCGGATAACTCACAAACTTACTAACCAGAAGGTCCATGGTTCGAACTCAATCCCGGAATCTCGACTGCTCTTGTCTGGGCTTGGATCACCTATCAGTATCTCAGCCCTCGTGATTCCTTTGGGTGACATGGAAGCTAGGCACCAGTAGGGTGTTATAGCTGAACACTGATTATGACGTTCTACATCTTAGGCGGAGAAACCCGGTGTTGATGACTGGCTAAATAGGTGCGATATAGCTAATACTGTAAAATCCGAGGCAGTCATAGTACTCTATTCTTTCCATTACTAATGATCCACGGTGTTTCGTGAACCACGGTTGAGAGGTAAAAAATGTCCGCCTGATTCGGCAGAAGACTTGAGAAACATTTCAAACCTCACTGGTGTTCAAGTAACAGGGAATGAAGTTGGTATCTTCCGCTGCTTATGCATCACGAACTTAAGTACCAGTGGACAGAACCGGTTGAACAAGACACTGATGTTGATGACAAAAACGGAGATGCCGATAAACAAAATGGTAATTCTATGCTGTCTAGAAAATCTTCATAACCAGAGGATCAACCTCACAATGGGTGGTTCACAGTTTCTAAGGTGTTAGAGTCACGGGTTCGCAGGTTCAAGATTCATCAAGATTGACTAAATCTGTTTTACAATACGGTTGAAGCAAATGCCACATCGTGCAACAAAAACTTGAATGAATGCCAAGATGATTCCCATATTGAAATGAACATTTCGAGTTTAGTAACATCAGAGGGATGATACTGGCTCAAATTCTTAAAGAGGTGCAGGGGGCTTGAGAGGCTAGTGTTTACGAGGTTGCCCGTATCACATCGATAATTCGTCCATTGAACAACGCTTCTGACTGGTTCATGTTTCTTAGGATAGGTAGAACCTCTGGATAACTTGAGCTGCTGAGTTAGAAAGTTCGAAACCTGGGGAATGTAATGGGGCGATACCTAAAGTGTTGCCATTGACCTATTATACCAAATTCAGACAAAACCCTAGAATTTAAGGAGAAATATTCTACATTGCATTAAAGGCATGATGAACAGTAAAATGCCAGAAAGAACACAGAAATAGAGAAAATCCTACCTTGGATACATCAACTGATTTAAGAGGCGGAATATAGCGTTTTCCGGCAAATGCTTCAGACATTTCTGATGTGGGGCTAGACAGATTGGCTGAGGAACCGCGGAGTGGCAGGAATGAGGGTATTTGTCGAAGTCTTTTCAAATCTGATTCCATCAGATCGTGTCTCGAATGGCGAGAGAGACAATCCAGGGATCCAGTGTTACGCAACCGCTGCGTCGGTCCCGGGCAGACTACCACAATCCCCCTAGTGGAATCAGCAGAAACACTAGCTGATCTAGGGGGAGTATACCTCCACTTGTCTTTTTCAGGGATGGTGACTGAGGAGGCAGACGTGCAACGGTCCAAGTTCGGCTCGTTGTGAAAATGTTGTGGATCCATGTCGGATTGAAAAGTAGGAATATGATTGGACGGCTGATGTGATGAAGTGCCAACAGACAAACTAAGAGACCGGGTTACCTCTTTCAAAGGGTGGTTCGATCTGTTGGTCTGCGGCCTTCTACTTGGGGATGCTGGCAGAGACAACGGACCATCAAAATCTGTGGAAAGTAAAATAACAAAGTCATGACTACATGTGGCTAGAAAGCAATGAATGGAACCGAATACAGAGAGATATTGCTGAGTAGGGGGAATCGGCGAGAGAAAAACGGACGTATGGAAGGGTGTTGGTTATCCATTACGGAATCTGTTTTCGAGTGTCGAACGCAATGGGGGTCGCTCATTGTGTGCGAATAACCGAAACGGATAACATAGAAGTTATCCTTGATCATCTGCACAATGGCGTGCACTTAATTGCCTTGAAAATTTGCTAGAAAGGTCGTGGAGGTGTAGTCAAGCGACACGT